AATTTGAAAGTAACGAGGTTTGTGCTGAAGATGATGAAGCTTGTGATGAAAATGAAGTATTTCGTTGTATTTTTGCTGATTGAATATTATTATCCAATGAATTATTTGCTAATAAAAAAATCTAATTAATATAAAATATAAAATAATAAATTACTAAATTATAAATTTAAATAAAGAAATATTACCTGATCATTTACCTAAATTTATTTTTTTCTTAGATGCAAGAGAAAATATTACTTCTTTTTCTTCTAGATTATATGCTTCATTGAAATTACAACAGTTTCAGAAATGAGATAATATACGATTGGTTTTATCTACAATTGTTTTCAATTCTGGATTGTTTTCATCATATTTATCATAACAGACCCTGTAATAATATAGTTTATTGCCTGATCCACATTTTTTGTTTGTTGTAATTATATATTTTTTTAAATTTTGTACCATTTCTTTTTTTTTTTTAAAAAAAAATTATTTTTATTGAGTAGTCAATTCCTTGGAATTAGTAGAATCGTTACTATAATGGACGTACGGACATTAGGTAAGTATTTTTTTTTTATTTTTTTATTAAAAAAATAAATATATATAATAATGAACTCACCTTTTCCTTGCTTACTTTCTCTCCTCTACTTTCTTGGGATTGTGATCGTGGCTTTTGTGAGTTCTTCTTCCTTGGAATTAGTAAAATCGGTATTGTGATGGATGTACTGATGTTAAAGTAAGTATTTTTTTTTATTTTTTTATTAAAAAAATAAATATATATATATAATAATTTACTCACTCTTTCCTTACTTGCTTTCTCTCCTCTACTTCCTTGGGGTCGTGATCGTAGCTTTTGCAAATTCTTCTTCCTTAGAATCGGTAGAATCAGTATTGTAATGGACGTACGGATGTTGAAGTAAGTATTTTTTTATTTTTTATTAAAAAAATAAATATATATATATAATAATTTACTTACCCTTTCTTTACTTGCTTTCTCTCCTCTACTTCCTTGGGGTCGTGATCATAGCTTTTGTGAGTTCTTCTTCCTTAGAATCAGTAGAATCGGTATTGTGATAGATGTACAGACGTTGAAGTAAGTATTTTTTTTATTTTTTATTAAAAAAATAAATATATATATATTAATTTTCAACCAGTGTTACTCACCCTTTCCTTACTTACTTTCTCTTCTCTACTTCCTTGACGTCGTGATCGTGGCTTTTGTGAGTTCTTCTTCCTTAGAATCGGTAGAATCGGCACTGTGATAGATGTACGGATGTTGAAGTAAGTATTTTTTTTATTTTTTTATTAAAAAAAAAAAAATATAAATATATATAATATAATTTACTTACCTTTTCCTTACTTGCCTTCTTCCTTAAGGTCGTGATCGTGGCTTTTGAAGGTTCTTCTTTCTTGAAATCAGTAGAATCGTCACCATGAAGGATGTACAGATATTGAAGTAAGTATTTTTTTTATTAAAAAAAAAATATATAATAAAATAATTCTCACGTTTTTCCTTACTTGCCTTCTCTTCTCTGCTTCCTTCACTGGTCGAAAATTGATAAAACATACACATATCGGATATCCGATATGTGCATGGTGTTTCCCTAATATCGGACATATATCGGGTACCCGATATATGTAGAAAATATTTTATATATATATCAGGTACCCGATATATGCCCGATATTAGGGAAACACCATGCACATATTGAGTACCCGATATGTATATGTTTTATCAATTTTCGACCAGTGCTTGAGATCGTGGTTGTTGATTTTTGTGAGTTCTTCTTTCTTGGAATTGGTAGAATGTCACTGCGACGGACGTACAGAGTAAATTTTTTTTTCTCAAATCAAAAAAATCAGGTGATTAATTTTCGTACTATGTACTAAATGTACTAACTGTATTAAGAGTAGTTAGTATATCTGAATTTCGCATAGAGCTAAGTACACTAGTACATTAGTACAAATTTAGTACTTGTACTAAAATTTCACTAGTACAGTGTACTTTCCAACCCTGGTGATGACTATTCAAGTGACTTCAATAAATATAGTGATAATATATCCAAATGTGAATTGGAAAATTGCTGCGACTATGGCTCTGACTATAAGTCAGATACTGAAACAAGTACTATCAAGTCCCCAATATCCCATTCCTCTAAAATAGAAGAACAAATGTCTAATTTGACAATTTCCACAGATCAAGTAGACTTCACATATTCTAGAAGGCAAGAAAAGTTTGATAATAAATTTACTCAGATGGATCTATTAAATAGAATCCGTAAAATTGCTTTCTCTCCTGTTAGAGATATATCAAATAATAAAGGTTCGTTAGAGAATATACATTTATGGAACTATCTCTTACCTAATAATGAGGTGAAGGAAGGAATCAATCTACTCTATACATGTTCCCAAAATTGATTTTGAATTTTTGAGGTATTTCGACTTTTTGAGATTTATGCAAAATCTATTCTA